ATTCATGTTTACTTTGTTTTGCCTGGATTCTCTCCGGATCCGGACTCTGAAGAAAAATACTCTAAGCAATATACATTTTCGGCTTCCAAAGGTAGGGAATCTTGTTTTACAAATGTTACCCTTTAATCAATTAAAAGAAATCACCCGCATGCGTAAACGTCGCCTCTCTCGAACAATCAATCTCTTAACTGGACAAACGGACGCACCTTCGGACTTAGTTGCCTCCAAGGACACTCCGGTTGACGCAAGATTCCTCCCTCCAATTTCCCATTGGCATCCAAACCTTACGGTTAACCTCATTGATGACCATACGCCCTGGATTCGTGAATCCGTTCCTTCCCCCATCAATGAATGTATGTTGAGTTCCAGGCACAGTAGATTGCTAGCTCTGTCTCCTTACTGCCCCATTTATAATATTTTGTCTGCTAAAGTAGAGTAACCTGTGGTTAAAAATGGGTTCGGTTTCGCCCTCAGCCATAATACTTTTGTTTTCGAGATATTAAGTGGTATGAACCGACGAACCAGTACTATCCTGCTGTGTACATAAACGATTTTTGGAATCTCAATGAAGAGTATATGCCAGTGAATAAAACTACACCAGAGCTCACCTTCCGTCTCACTGTTGCGCCGTTGTCACTTTTCAAGTGGCAACTCTACCTCTCACAAAGCATGCGCAAATCTTGGTTCCCGGATCTACTCGGCCAAACTGAGGATGACAAGTTCAACGAAGACGAAGATCAGGACACTATGAAAGTAATTAAACTGTCGTCATGCTCCCTAAATCCGATCAGTCATTTAGTCTTACTCGATTTTTCTTTAGAAAACCTTTTTGGAGACAAATCCGTACCTTCTTGGACTCACCGTTGTGGTGTCTATTATTCATTCTGTCTTTGAGATGCTTGCTTTTAAAAATGGTAAGAGTTTACTGTATTGACCTTTGTTGGTACACTCTTAATCCTTAGTTTTTATCTTTTCCGACTCAAATCATTCATGCTTTATAGCGTAAACCATTCGAATTAGCACTTTAAGCCCC